GGGCATTAGATACACACACAATAGGGCTCACACTTCAGATCACTTCAACTAGTCACCCCTCCCTTCTATCTAATTCATGGTTCGAACTGGCGATTCGCAAAAGACCCACTAGCATCAGTATCGATGCCTTTGAATGACTATAAAGTTCTTCATCTCTTGGTTTTACAAATGAATAAGAAAAGTTTCAGGAAAGGGGCTTCGACTAAACAAAACCTGTCTGAGAATATACGGGGATGGGGAAGATAGGCAGCTCTGGGGGGATTCGAACGAAGGACCTCCGGGTTGTCGTTCTGCCAATCGTGTTTAGCAATAGTAAACAATACTTTTCTTTATTACTCGCATATGTAGGATAGGTGAAATCCTGGGCAAGAAATATAGCGAAGTGAAACAGTATATCCAAAGGTGGATAAATTTATTGATTATAATTTTGAAAGGTTTACGACTATGAGTAAACGGGAAGAAAAGATATATATATATATATGTCTCCGAAAGCTTACAATTATTGAGAGAAAAAATGAAACCAGCAGTACCGTGGTAGGTGTGATGGTACAGTGACCTAAGAAAGAAAGCTCTCTACAGACAGACAGTTCCTCAGCAAACTGTTTTAGCAAATCTACAGCGACAAAGTCTAAGGTTGTTATTATTTCAGAACACGACTGTACTCTGTTTTCGGAATTAGGTATGATGCACAAGGCGGTCGTGGGGGAGGTGTCTACATTCAGTGCTGAATTTAATCGACTTCGCTTTACTCATTCGCCTATCATCTTCATTCACTACGGCTGGTTCCAGGAAGAAAATAAGTCGATCTCACGAATACCCGGAAGTTTGGTGCGATGGACGTCCTCTCAGTGACATCCGGTATTTCATTCAAGGTCACATCCCTAGTTTATGTAGAAGCATGTGCGGACTGTATGGTACCGGTGTGTGGGTGCATGATTGCCGATGGCTCGCTGGGAATTAATTCGCCATTCGATAGATATGAATGAAACCCAGTTAGTCGGACAGATCTCCCTTATAGCCGTTGAATCGCAAAAGCACATTTTGTACGCCTATCCAAGATTCGTTGTTCTCGCCGGGGTTTTCAGACGTCGATAACTGTGAAGCAGGTTTAGCACATCGGTCATATGCTTTTCGAGATGTGGCTGTTGATGCTTGCCTCGGATTAGAATGAAGTAACTGATAGTGACCAAATGGCTGTAACGTGTCAAAAAGGATACGACAATCTACCAGGCTATTAGTGCTTTCGCTTTTTTATTACACTATGTGAGTTACAGTAAAAGGAGAAATCCCCATAAACAAGTAGCACACTGTAAAAATGAGAGTAGGAGAACATCCACGTGAGATCCAGTTTATCGATTCTGCGTTTGAAGAGTGTAAGGTTGAGTTGAGGGAAAAACAGAAAGTGAAGAAGTATTNGGAAAAGAGAAGATTGGAACAGAGAAGTGCGACATCTGGGAACAGAAACCTGATAAGGACGACTGGATGCCTGTGTACGGGATGGGCAGGTAAAAGTTACCGGAAGAAAAACTGCCGAGGCAAGTTCTGAAGAACAAAAACCAAAGTAGTAACGGTAGAACAGGGACAATGAAGCAACGACTCGACGATGGGCTAGCGACTGTAGACTGGATGTTAGAGAAGGATCATCGATTGGCCGGATGGCCTGTCGTTGAACACGATCAAGAAGGGAAAGAGAAAAAGTGGAAGCCCCATCCCACACTTGACTACAGTATTCAAGACCAGGGCGGATTTGAGTTTTACACAGTAGAAGATGAGCTAGGTTAGAAAACTGTCTCGGGCGAAATAAAACTAATAACCTTGCACACCTCACGAGAAGCAACCTGAGCTATAAAAAGAAACCAGCATAAAATAGAAGTTATAGGCAATTTAAGAAGGGCAACAGAGTCTGTGAAATACAATTGAGTGGAATCAAAGATAAATGGTGTTTTAAACAAATTGAAAGAAGAGGGGTTTCAGAACTATTGAACGGAACATGGTGTGCATTGCCCCAGGAAGAGTTGTGTTCAAGATCGGAGTCACGATTGATGCTGGTTTAGGGCATAGCGAGTGGACATCAATCGATTTCATATTTTCCAGTTTGAGTAATCCCCCAATAATAACGAACGGTGACAGTGTTGCGGTTAATGGTCTAACTTAGGATTGATTGACTCTGTTAGCAAATCTTTTCAAGTGCTAGACATAACTAATAATTACTCCCCCTCTCTTTCTCGCGCGTGCATTGAAATGTCGCATCCGTCGATCAATCGAGAGTGCTACTGAAACATGACCAAAAAACGGATGCAATTAGCAGTATAACAAAACGCGAGCCACGGAAACTCTCGAATGGCCAATCAAACAAAAACCTGGGAGAAGAATGTTCAGAAAATGAGCACCTATTTCGATGAAAGATAGCCTCAAACCAATTAAGGTAAAAAGGAAACAGCCACTTATAGATTTAGTCCTTGTGCTTCTGCAAACTTCCAGACTGAGTCCGACAACCACATGTCGCTAGTATCGATTTAGGTACTGATAAGCCCAGTCTGAACTGAACTGAGTCACTTATATTTCACCGAGCCCGCAAACGAAAGGTTAGATCAGGCAATTCAGGGAGCGTAGAGCGCAAATAACAATCGCAACATTGAAAAGCTGCGTCAATATGGGATCGATCATTCATGCAATATCTACACGCCTTATTCATATTCATTAAAACGTTTTATAAGCTTTAGATCCTAAAAGGTATATTTCGTAAATTGTAGCCAGTATTAGAAGTGTATCTTTGATACTTTGTGATAACAGTTATATGATCAGTGTTGTTCTGCTACAAAGACATTTCGTGTTCATACACCCACCCCCCCTCCCCAATTCATTAACTGTCGAATGAAACATGAAAATGACCCCCTCGATGACGTGCATATCCTAAACGAATCTTGTCCGGAAACTAAGGCTTCTTTCCGGTTATTGTTGAACTTAAGGCAAAACCACACTGTTGCCGACCACAGTCGGTCACAGAAATGCCACACGGTCTATGGTCATTCTCTAACACGACCTCCGAGTCACATACAAACATCACCGATCACCTTCATCCATGAACATCGAACACAGCTAACCTGTCTCATCTATTGCACGACCCGAAGAACCGATTTACAGAATGACAATCACGTCAATCGATAGCTCACCCGGACCAACTCCATTCATGCGTTGCAAGAATTCCCGCAAACGCAAGCAAGTGTTTCCCACCTTATTTCAGTTAGATAACGGGGAGGCGGTTGTCAACTGATAAGGTCGTCGAAATAACAATTTGGGGGTCCTGAATAAGACACCTGCCATCGCCGGCCATCTTTCCATCGTGTGTATTTCCCCAAACAGCTTTTCTGTGTTCGCGGCCCTCTTCCTGAAAGTTTATTGTACATTTCTATAATCAATAGACAAAAGTAAAAATATTTAGGAATATTATTTTTATATTATGGATATTCCTATTTCCCTATCAGCATAAAAGAAGTTCCATTTTTCCCTCGAATGTTTCCAATGTTCTTTTCGTTTAGCGCAGTTTCATCAGTATTTCCGCCTCAGGTCATCTAATCTATTCCAGGACTTTCATCCACGTGTTTGATGCGTCTATTCATTCTCTCGACACGAATCAAGGCAACTCTTGTCGAAATAACGATTACCGCATGTAGCTTGTACACACACTAAAATATAAAACTTTTCCTTCGAGCGGGTGAACTATTTTGGCAAAGTATAACCGTTGATTTGGCCTAGAGTAGCAGGAAAGCAGAAAGCTTTCCTGTACATCGATCACACAACGGGAGCTTTCAGGCACTGATCGCGCATTCGCTTGTACTATTGGCAAAAAGCATTATTTACGTCAATGAATTTTCGATTCATCGTGAGATTATACCTTTGTCTGTTAAATTTGTACCCCTTTAAATAGATCACCCTCGATTGTCTTCCTGCAAACGTCAAATGGATTTACCAGAGTTTTTGGATGGATTACGGACGGTTTCGCTGATATGCACGAGATTGTGAGTATCCGGTTGAAAGATAACACCCAGTTCATTTTGAACCACAAAATCTAAAATTGTTCACAATCAGACAGATGTGATAGCGTCTAGATAAACGAATGTGGCGGCGATCGATCAAATGAGACTTTTTGAGGACCAATGTAAATGATAAAAGCACACTGATAGTCGTTGCCGGGAAAGTCGGAGCAGTTCGAAGATGAGTAGATTTCAAAGTGCATTTTGTATAAAGGAAATTAATGAGTGGGACGGGTTTAGAGAACTTTTGGCAGACTGCTCATTCTTCAGTGTGGAAAGTTAGACTTAGTTGAGTGCACTGTGGAACACTGCGCACAACTCTCATACAAATAGACTTTCTGCAAAGCTAAAACCGGAATTAAGGGCCAGTCATAAGAGCTTGATATCTTTTGACAACTATAAAACTACCTTAGTTTCAGTGATCGGTAAGTTCAACGTCGATTTTTATACTGACAAACTGCCAGTATCATTTTTGTTTTGTTTTTTTTCTTTTTGATTAAAAATCACGCATTTCAGATAATGAGAAGTGAGACCATAACAGTTCAATCAAAAAAGAGCACAGTTTGAATGCTAGCTCATCACGGACGTCAGATGTCTAGGCTAACGCACACTGACCGGAACCACCCGGGGGAAACGAAGATAGCGAGCTAAGTGAAAAAGTCGGATGGAACGAACTAGGAATTAGAATAGCGCTAGAGCAAAACAGCACGAGTGAGTTCAATCACAACCAATACAAGCACGCGCATGTGCAGGAGTTGGCACGTCTGTCATAGTATCGTGTTATCAAATAGATCTACTATCCATTTCACTATGAGCTGCGTGACTTTTGGCCAAAGAGTTATTGTCCCCATACCTCACTGAGCTAACTGATCACAAACTGTTTATGATTCCCACGGACAGACGATGAGCGGTCAGCACCGGGCAATTCATTTTGAATAGACCCGGGGGATACGGTGATAGACTTACTTTGTACACTGGACATGCACCAGCAAGCCATGCCAGAGAGGATGAGTAGACGTAACATCCAACTGGTCCATAAGGACAAGCCGTTCGGTGAATCGGAATTGGACAACATAATGACCAGAAAGAGCGAGGGGCACGAACGGGGTGACTGAAATCAAATTAGTTCCGCATGCACAGTTTCGCAGTGTCGGTGTTTGACGAGTGCGGCAACAGAACACAATCACGTGCCGAACACGCGAAGTAGAGTCATCCTAGACTACCGGGGATTCGGAGGGATGCGGCTAAAATGCGAAAAGAACAAAACGGGTTTAGGTAAACGGTTCACGATCATGTTCTTTTTTTCGAATAACGACCAAATTTGTTTCTTTACTCCCTTACAACTACGGAAAACAGCGAATCAGCATAAAAATACAGCAATATGAGTATTGGAAACACACGAGAAACTTTGGACGCGACTTATTGAACTAGCAGAGAAAAAGCATGCACATGGATGAGCGGATTTGATTACTTCTATACACCATAGCACAAAAATGCCACGACCATGTTATGAATTTTACGGGACCAGACCGTGAGAGAATAACTTGGCGCGTTGAATCGCTTGCGGTGAATAGAACAGAAGATACATGATCATCAGAATCAGTCAGGCGGGCAATAAAAACCGACCATGCCAACATCCGTGGTGAACTTTAAGCAAATTTT